GACGACGTATGCAAAGAGAGCCAGGAGAAATGACGGCAACTATAACCCGGCTCTAAAACGGAAGATCTACTCATCCGACAGGACTCTCCCCAGCAAATGTCGCCGAACTGCGGAAGGGCCATCAGCGGCGGAGGAAAAGTTACAAGGAAAATTTGAACGGCCAGCAACGAGGTCCAAGCAGGAACACGAAAGAAGTTTCCCGGTTCCGCCAAGACCAGCTGCCATCAAACGACCAAGACCACAGGCAGAATCGAAAAAGAAGGTATTCAAGGGTGACCGAACTGGTGAAAAAAGGAAGCTTCTAGAGGAAGGCACTGAAGGGTGAGCCCGTACAAGAAGGAGGATAAATCAAACAACAATCTGCACTACCTTTGAGGACTGGGCCCAGAAAAGAATGTCCGAATATCACAAAGATAAGTAAAATTTTATGTTACTTTGCAAACTTAAGTTAATCTTTCATTCTTACTGCAAGTGGCAGATTTCAAGAAGTTTTACCTCATGCGAGGTAAAACTTTTTCGCCAAAAGGCCGAGAAATGAGTTGTTACCGATTTTGGTATTATGTTTTTCAATTACTCGCGCGTGAAACTAAAGTTGATGTATAATAGCGTTGTGTAAAGACTTAAATATTGTAAAAAGTTATTGTATAAATTTTATTTAAAACATTCTGGCAAGAAAGAAGTTTTAGTCTGAAAGACTTTTTGAAATGTATTATTTCAATGTAGAAAGAATTGGCACTTGCTTTGAAAAGAATAGAAGTTAACAATGTACTACTAATGTATGTTTTCAAATGTATAAAATGAACGGCATGTTAATATGTTCTTATATACAATGTGAACTGTTATTTTAAATGTTAAGAAATACCGTGATATGGTAAAAGTGAAAGTAATGTTAAAATTTTTTATTCGTGTGACTGTAAAAAGACTAAATCGTGGTGAATATGTGTTAATGGTTGAATGATGTAGTTAGGCTCTCTGACGCTACACTTCAGAGTTAGCCACTTTCAGAATAGTACCTCAGGGTTTAGAGTTGAAATTAGGGTGTGTTACGAGGTCTTGGTATGTTGAATTTTAACACGTTAGTGTTATGATTGTAGGAGGAAGTGTTGAACACATAGACATAAACACATTCGTGTTTGGTGTTCTTTTACAACACATGTCAGAGAGCACGGGAAGAGATAATTAAAATAGTCATGAATGAAATAAGAATGTTAAGAGAAATATAATTATACATGTTACTTGCCATTTCATTATGTAACATTTCATTAAACTAGTTTTCCTTCCAGATCTCTGGAAGGAACCAGATTTGAATAAAAGCTCCTGTTTAGATGCAGTGCAGATGAAGAAATTGTGTATCCTGGGAGCTGCTATTGTAAAAACAATTTCTTTCTTTTAAATTTCTAGTTTCTAGCGAAAACTGTAAAAGATTGGCCTCGCGTTAGATTCTAGAGCTAAAAGTTTTCAACAAGGTCGTTTTAGACCTCAGTTTCAAACTAATTAACTCTGGCGGGAAGTATGTAAGGATCTTAAGTTTTACTAACGTTTATTTTATTTTAAATCTTTACTATCACTTCTTATTTTCTACTTCCGGCCAGAATTATAAGCATTAAAGTATTTTTGCAAAGGTTGTCTGGCGAACGCCAAGTATTTAAGTTGTGGCTTTTTGCCAAGCGAGAGAGAGGAAGCAGTCGAAGCAGACCGCTTACCTTAGAAGTTTTACTCAGTTGCTGTTGCCTTCCAGGCCAGAGGTTTAATCCTCTTGATAACTTTAAACGTATTGTAGTGTTCACAGTTCTCTGTACTACATACGGCTTCCTGTTGATATAAGGCCAATCTTCCACGTTTATTATTTTAAAGTTAAATTAGAGTTTAGTTTTATTTTTATATTTTTACGTTTAGACCACAAGTAGTGAGTCTTTGTATTCCGAAGTACGGAAGTTATTGTAAATAGAGAAAAAATAAAGGGTTTTGTATACCCTTCTTGTGTATCCTGTCTACTTCCCACAGCGATTGAACATAGCTTTTAAGCTCTCTGTTCCGAGTCAGGTCCTTGGATGTTCCCGAAGATAGTAAGACGGAACATTGAACCTGATAACCTAACAAAACATGTTTATGTACTCTTTTTAGTTTACGTTCTTCCAAAACAAAATATTTTTAACCACTGAAACCACAGAAGCATTTACTTATGGTTGTTGTTTTCCTTTTGCTCTCACGTGCAACAGAAATAATTAAAAAACTCATATTTACCTATTAAAATAGATGACTTTGACCTTAAAAGTTTATGACGGATTAAAATCCAGTTATCCATGATAGCAAGTAATCTCTGATCAGATGCTGAACCTTTATTAATAATTCTGGTAGCAGTCATTTTACACGCACGCAAAACGTGTCGCAGGATCGTGAGAACTAAATAATATGGGGTTAGGGAAACTGAACTCTTTTTGCAAACAAGGCATGCAAGTCGATTCTGTCATGATATCCCTTCGTTAATCATCTGATACTTCTAGTTCGTGTAATTCCAGTCTCCTGCTTAGTGGGATGTCTCAACCAATCTCGTATATACAAATTGATGCTTAGCAATTTCACTAAGTTTAAAGTGTATTTACTGTATCATTAACGTATCAACATCTAGTAAACGGCGAATAATAGATGACTTCGTCGGTTAAGGTTAAAAAGATGATAAATTCATATAGTCAACAACAATGAACTTCCAAGCAAACGCTTCTCCTGCATCATCTACGTGTTACCAAAACAACAAGATATTCAAAAATTTAATTCCGATTAAATGATAGATGACTTGAATATTAATGTAATTATTTACCCGCTAAGCGCATTTATAAAAGCTTGCTAAACAAAAGTATGCTTTCGATAAAAGTAATATCAAATTACAAATTTCTTGAAAACAGATTTTTCATTGGCAGCTGTAAAGGCTTTTAAAGGTTTTGCTTCTGTAGTTATATGAACCTTAGACTAATGTTAAAATTCAGGCAAAACAAATGAATAATGACAGAGAGCTAAGGTATGATGAGTTCTGTAAAATAATTATGTGAGTTCTACATTTTTAAATGCATTGTTGTTATCAGCATGAATCAGATGAAAGATATTTTGATAAGATATTTTGTAATTTCAAGAAATACCTACTTAATAGTTTCCCCTCACTAAAATCTAATTTACAAAACTCCACAGAGTATTTAGAAATTATTCTTACAATTTCAAGACTGAATAAAAAGTATCTAAAACTTAGGTACATTTCAAAGCAATTTTTACATTTCAGTTCTTAAATTTTTTAATTTCAGTGCCAGCTTTTGTGCATTTTTATTAATAAACTGAAGTGGAAATGGAAGAAAATTGATAAAAGAAAGCATAAATCTTGTTTCGTTCAAAACAGAAGAATAAAACTTTCACGGATTCTAAAATTCCGAATTCTATGAAATGAGAAAGTAATTACCATACAATTTTAAAATTAATTTTTGGAGACAAGGACAAAACGACTACGAAAATACAAAAATATGCAAAATTTCAATATCTAGATTAAAATGTTAATTAAGGATGTGATGCATCATCGTACCTGAAATGCAACGTGGATAATAGTAATTCATACTATTTATAAGAAGTTAAGTTTAAAATTATCTTGAGAGGAAAAGGATCGCTTGTTCTGAAAGTGCTATTCTGATGTGTCCCAGCATAAGATCAAAATTCTGAAACTTTGCGTTCTAAAGTATTCTAAATATGTTCGATAGTGCTTGAGAAATAAATCTTCAAATGGTTACAGATCTAATTTTCAAATAGTTTGAGATCTCCATATCATCGATCTAAATAATGAGACAATAGGTCAGTGAAGAACAGAAGCTTCCAATGTTTGTTCTCCTCATTGTCTCCAGACACGGATAGACCCACGAGGATGGTATAAGCAAAAATGGGTGACGTGACCCCACTAATGCAAGTATATCGGTCAGTTAGGTTATACAGCATCCCCTAATAAAAGGAATGCATCTCTTCATTCATTTTCACAAATAACGTTCTGAAGGAACCAGAAGCTCATTGCATTTTTCTGAGCGTTTGATGAAACGAGCTTAAAGATAACCAATTTCCATCCAAACTTTGATTCCTCCCTGTTTAAATACATATCTCTACATGGAATATCTTTATATTGATACTGGAAGTATACCTTATCTTTGGCTACCAAGAGTCACCTATGCGATTAGAATTCCTCTCCAACTAAAATCTAGATAAAATAATTCCATTCACAGTTTTAGGATTCAGGTTTCAGTATTATCTAAACTATTTCAAACGTACCCAGCTGAGCTGAAATAGAACATAAACTACGGATGTTATCTTACAGAGCTTCACTCATGCAGACTAGAATTAACAGTAAATCTTACTGTCCCTGTAGATACAGCAAAGTAATAAAGAATGCTGCGTTATCCTTTAACTGTTTCTCTTTGCCAGAAGAATCATATAATAGACTTTTGACTCGGATGTAGACCCAAATGTGTTTTGTCCTAGGTAATGAGTCACTCACCTTGTCAATATTACCCCTTTTTGCAGTCTGGGGAGAGTGTTTTGAGGTATATCTAGCGCTTTCAATATATTGATTTAATATTGGGCAGTTGTATATTACTATTCATCAGTTCTTTTTTACAACTTAAATGTTTTCGTCTTTCTGTATTCAATTACTTTTCATTAGGCTATTTTTCTCCCAGAGAGAAATTATTATGGCAATCACTCATTCAAACACTGAAGCAGCACATTACTTTTGAAATTTCCGATATTGTGAATACTCAAATATGAATAGAACATACCGTTGCATGAAATGGAGTAAATTTGAACTGTGATTTGAGGCAGTAATTTCTTTTTTAAAATATTATACCAAACTATTCATCAAAATATTTCATCTATCAGTATATCTTAATTTTCTATCAAAAATAAAACATGAATTTGCATTCGAAATAAAACAGAATACAGAATTTAATCTTAAATGTCTTCATAACTTACAGCAAATACGTACTTTTGTGTGAATATTTTATATAGAGTTGAACATCCTAGTTAAACTGTAGGTTGCTAGCATTAAAATAAAATTTAACGCTGTGTATTTGTTTTCTCCTCTACGGTACAAACTTATTTCCCAGTTTATCTGCGCTTTATTTGATATCCGATAATAATGCAACACCTCGTAATATCCAATGGTTAGGATTGCGATGGCACTTCAAGTCAATGGACGTCACGTACGTTAGGTCTGTTCGTTTTGGTTTCTTGTATACTGGACATTCGTATACATCCGGACTCTTTCCAGAAGTGCTGTTGATTGCGTAAATATGCAATAGCGGCATTGGCTCGAACAGAATCTTTGGTACAGATTCCTTCAAACAACCATTTTTCAGATCCCACGAAGCTCCTTCCAGGTGCAAACCATAAATGTAAACACCCTCTGTAGGAGGTTCGGTGACTTCCGATGGATTTAGGAAAGACGTGACTTTATTTCTTTGAGACACAGAGTCCAATGCCCAACCATGATGTGCTCTCGTGACCTCCTGCAATGATTAAAAAATCAGAATTCTTTACGCCACTTTAAAAATAAAGTTACCTAAAATTATAAGACAAAAAGACACAAAATGTTTTTTCTTGTTTTGTATTGGGTTGTTTTTCTTTGCTAAAGGTATTCGTATTTTATATAAATTGAAGATTTAATTCATCATTAAACTGGTTTCTTAAATCCATGAGACGGGTTTTTGATAAAATAACCTTCAGTAAGTCACACGTCGAAACATTTTGTATATATGTCACGTAATTTCGGAAAAAAACCAACCTCTGTAACCAAAGAGTAACTACTGTTCCAGAATAAATTAAGTTTTGAACACACGGAAGAAATTTCCGTCGAACAGCTTCCGGTTTAGTAAGACCAGTCTCCATGAGGTGACATAACAAGTATCCTGAACGTCTGCACCACTCCATCTATCTTCACAGTAAAATATATCTCCGATGCTTGTTTGCGCTTGCTGCGTCGAGAGTCGTCATCATTGTGCATGAAGGCTCGTCTACACGAGAAGATGTTGCCTAGGGATATACTAAAGTCTCCCTCGCAGACATGTTGCCTGAAAGTATTTCGTCTACACAGGAAGATATTGCATCTACGTTTCTCTGAGCTAGAAAGCCAACCAGAGCAGCCAAAGCAAATGACATGATTTCTACCCAACAGGAAGCCTCCATCGATGACACAATATGCTTAACAGCCAACACCTTTATTTTCTAGGCTAGGGATTAATTTAAAATAAATTATAATAATATTAACAGCAAATAAAAAAATAAAAATTCGAAAGTTTTCATATTTTAAATTACGTAGAACGGGCGTTTTTTTAACATTTTGTCTGTTAACTTTATTTATTAAATATCACGCTCTTCTCACTTAAACTATAAGATTCAGTTCAAGGGCAGTATCACAAAATAGTTTTAAATTGAGCACAGCCTTTAGAATTTCAAATACGCAGTCTCACGCGCTGGAGATAAAAATATTGTTTCTGTACCATTGCTCGCTTTGAAATCCTTGAGTTTGCTAATCAAAAATTTGTTAAAGTTTTACAAAACATGAAATTGATCATAAAACAAATTCCAAATTTCAAATTTGGGCTTCCACATGCCCATATTCGTAGTACGATTACGTCATTCAAAATTCGATGGCTCTATTGTACCGTTGTTTTATGATATAGCGAGAAATATACATACATTTAAGCAGATTTTTCATTATTTAATTTCCTCAAATATAATGCAGGACTCTAAAATTTGGTGGCAACAGCTTGAAAAGTGAAACGGACATTTATAGTGAATCAACGCAGAATCACAAAACGAAAATAATAGTCCTTCAGGGACAAAGCCTCTTTGGATTAATGAATAGGAGGCTTAATTGCAGAGAGAAAGTAACAATGATTAAAAATGCCGATAAAGATGCAAAATACAAAAAATAAATGAAAATTGTAAACAAAAAATAAATTAATGAACTGAGAAAGGAAAGCAGTTAATTGTGAAATCTATACATACATAAAGCAATAAATAAAGAATAATGTAATGTGTAAAAGAAGAAAGTAATTCGTTTACTTCATATATATATATATATATAGCATAAATATAACATACATCGTAGATCAGCAGATTCAAAATAAAACATCACTTTAAATACACGAAAGAAAGAATTTTTTTAACACTTTTTATCACTTTATGAAGACGGTAAAAAATCTTATAATTATATTTAGTTATGTAATATAAATTATTATATAAATCTTTAATAAATAATAAATTTTACATATAATTTAAAAATAACTTAAAATTAATACATATTAGACATAAAAACTTTTAGATAATTTTTATATTATAAGAATTCTGTTAATTACAGAACTACAAATAGAATAAAACGTTTATTTTCAGAGGAAAAAATCACAAAATTGTACCGACGGCTTTTAACTCACAGTCTGGTGATTCACGGAAAAGGCAAGCACTTTGCTAAATACGCCACGCAATTGAAACCGCTATACTCAGCCAGACGGGTGAAAAATCATTCACAATGGAAAATCGGAAATAAAATGCAAACAGACAATAAATTAAGCGTTTCTTGTTTGTCAGACTTCTCAGAACATAAAAATGTAGTAATTCCCTTAAACAGGTAAAAGTGCATGGAGCACCAGAGACTTCACTACAAGAAGCGAACAGGTTTGCCCCAATACACTAACTAGCTAGAGTTTCAATTGACTGCATGCTTTTTCTCCTACGGAATAGTAGAGTTATACATCGGAATTGTTACATTTAAATATAAGAGGATAATAACATAAAATTAGCCAAAGTTACATAACTTAACACTTGGTTGAGTACACTCATTACAATATTGGATTACGTAAATACAGTAGAGTTGGTATTTTGGATTGTTCCAGTGGAAGATTTGCATTTATATACAAGTAGATAAACATGTAAGATTTGAGTTTGCTAATATGTTGGAATGTCTGATTCTTGTTACGTGAGGATTATTTGGTACAGGTAAGACTGTACTGAGTTCATATCTTTCAGTTTAAAGTCCAAAGTTTATAAGAAGTTCATGGGCTGAGCTCATTACGTATGGTGTTTTGAAGCATTATGAAAGGTGCTGATGTTGCCCGGAATCAATTATTGGGGTGTAGCCTAATCATTGCTCTTTGCTAATGTGTAACTTGGCATAGGTTCAGGTCTAAAGTACTGAGCGTTTGGTGCATTTTCATGATTTTGAGATATAGGTGAGGTAGCTTATATCACCAGTGTTTTGAAGTTAAGGTCTACTTTGGTGGGTTTCAACAGGAAAAAATATTCTACTAGATTTAGTTAATGCTAACAAATGAGGAAAAAAGGTGCATTGCTTTATAGCTTAGAAAAACAAATCGCTTGCATCAAGGGGAACAAATATTCTATTTTTTTTATATATTTTTAAAGAAATCAATCCGGATTTAAAATCGGAAATAAATATCGCATGATAAATTAAATTCGTTAAAATAATAACAAAAACTTTAAACAGTTCGTGGTAATACTGTAGGGTTTAGCCTAAGTTTTTAACAGTAATCTTTAGTTAAAGCTACTTTCCTGTCCTATAGAATTTTAGTCCTGAACTAAAAAGATATAGCTACTATATCTTTTTAGTCAAGCATTAGTTAAGTTTGATTTCTTAGTACTCTTGAGTTCAAGCCCAACAGGAGTTTTTCTGTATGCCGACAAGACAAGAGCCGACTAAATTCTTATTTTGAGACAAGAGCCGACTATAAATTCTTATTTTGAGAAATAAGGGGTAATTAACCCTTCTTGGGTTTACGTTTCTGTTTCCTGAGCTAAAGCGATTATTCGCTTACCAGCTCTCGAGGTAATTATAGCTTAAGAGAAGAGGTTGGAACCTTATAACACAATAAGTTAAACATTGATTCACTACCGGACATTGTTTTTTCGGACACGTGATTTCCATACGCAGTTTCATTGGCTGATGACAAATAAGTCTCCAGCGGCAATGTATACCGTCATGAGCAATGATTACGACTCTCAATAAATACACCACGCCCCAGACAGGTATCTAAAGCTCCGGAGAGATATTTTTCTGCGTAGACAGACTGGGACAAGCGTCGCAGATGTTCAGACATACTTGATCGGAGATATGTCTCCTCATTTAGAGAGGCTTTGACTGGGTAAATTGTCGCCGAAGAGATATTTGGCAATATCCAATGAAATCGCGTAAACACAAAGCCAAGGCGGCTTATGAATCAACATTTGGCTTATCGAATTACATATTCCACGAACCGTTTGGAGTTAATGTTATTTTTAAAAACTTAATTTATGATACGATATTTATTTTGGATCATAATTTCCGATTGATATCATTATAAACAGAATATTGTTTCACTACAAGTGATATATTGTAAGCTATAAAGCGATGCATTTTTTCACCTAATTTGTCAGTATTAACTAAATCTGCTAGAATATTTTTTCTGGTTATGGAGATTATTATATCCTTATGTTTGTTTTGATAAGTCCAACAAACAAGCTTAATTTATCATCCGTTGCATTTGATGATATTTCCGGTTTTCTATTGTTAATGATTTTCCAGCTTTTAGATTATGTCTAGCTAGTTCGATCATTTAGGGCATTTACATAGGTGCTAAATTTTGAATCCATGAACCAGTAGATAACGATTTCGAATACCAACAAGCTTTTTCCTAATTTTTACACTAAAATTAAGTGTTAAATTAATTCTATTATTAACAAAATTATGTTAATATAAATATTTAAGTGTTGAGATACAATGTATAACAATTTTGCATTATTTTATTATTATACGTAAAATGTGATTTTTATTGAATATAAATTATTAAATTTTTTACTTTAATTATAATGCAATAAAATTTCTTTTTCATCTTCCGTGTACTTAAAATTCACACTTTGGTGGTTAATAGGAGTGCATGTGATTATTACTATTATTACAATGAATTAAAAAGTGAGTTTTGAAAAATTACGATATTGAAAACTTTTAAAAATTGTTGTTTGTTGTGAGACCGATGAAGATCTCCTCTTGGATACAAAACATGTCATCTGCTTTGACTACTTTGACTAGCTTAATAGCTTAGAGCAACTTAGATATAAAATATCCCTCAGTAGAGGAAATGCTGTCAGGCAACATTTTTGCGAAGGAAACTTTAAACGCCAAGCAACTTTAGTTTCTCCTGTAGGATGGGTCTTCTTGCTGCATACATTTTTTAATTATCATGACAGTTTTAAGACCATTTTAAATTTTACCAAAATAAGACGTACTAAAGGATTTCAAATAATTTAAAAACGCGAATGCATTAGTTTGTTTGTTAAATAAGTAACTTTACTTTTTTTTTAAGAAAGGCGAAAGCTTAAGAGCTATATTTAATTAAAAAATATTTTTCACAAAATCACGGAAAACTTTTGCTTTTGATTTAATTATTGTGAGAAAAAGGCATATTAAATCTGATCACCTGTCTCATGGCGGTTAAAAATCCAGTAGGATTGAACAATCCAGATATCCAGAAACTCGTTGGTTTGGCCTTGAAGCACCATTTTCGGAACTGTTGGTCTCTTTCCAGGAGTTCAGTAAACCAGAAGCCTAACGTACTCGATTCCCACGATACCTTTGGAAATGAACAAAAGAAAAGAATGAATATTTAATATTTGAATGAATAAACATGATACAGAATGATGGCTTTGGTAGTGGTATTAAATTTCATTGCATATTTGCAGGGACTTGAGATATTAAAATATGAAATGTCGCCCAACCTGGATAGTGTTAGCGATGCTGACTGTCGTGCGGATGGTTCGAATCCCGGATAAGGCATGGTTGTTTATCAATGTATAGTTTCTGTGCAGCATGGGGACACTCTAAATATGCGGCAAGCCGATAGATCACTCGAGAGGTTGTTAGGGGAAGAGGGATGGGAGACCCATCCCTCTTCCCCTAACACCAACCTCTCCAGGGATGGAAGACCTTCCCCCGGGGTGCTCTCCATCAAAATTCGGGGGCGGAACTGAGCAAAGTCGTACTGTCACCTGTATCGTGCTCAAAGCTCTTGCCAACGATGGGCGCAATCTTGCACTCCTTGTCAACATGAACTTCGTGTGCTTACTGTCAGACAAGTGGGATAAGTCATAGCAACCACAAGTATCAAATAGGAAATCGAAAAGTAATTTGTCTCAAAAAGAAACTAATCATCTAAAAGATAATAATAACAAGATATTAAAGAGTATGAGAAATAAATAGCGTAATATGGAATATAGGTATGTCGGTGCAGTAATATATGCTTATTACAAATGTAATGTAACCCACGTTCATCCAAATGTAAAAAGTACTTTACTCAATTACCTTAGCAACGCCTCAAAATAAATGCATCGTTAATAATGATATTTGTTATTTGATAACAAAATCACAGAAAGGTTTATCCAATTACAACTCCGAGTAAAAGTTATGAATGAGAGACAATTCTGCAGTACCATGCCACAAAACATAAGCTTAGAAAATGCATTTGTGAAAGAAGTTTCCATTTATCTAATATCAAAGCATTTAAAATTTTCAGAACGTTTTGCCTGATTTGACAAAAGATATGTAAACTACTGAAAGTCTTAGAATCATATGATTATGCTGGCTCTGCACAGTTTTCAAATCTGAGTCCTTCGCATTAAATTAAGACTTTTTGCAGAGTTTAATAAACGATTCAAATACGTTATATAAGTAGACTAATGTTTACTAAGTAAAGGTAACGTTTTTAGAACTGCTTCTGAGGAGGTTTCTGATTCCGCACACGAACACAACTTGATGTAATAACATTTTCAGCCATGAGAAGATCTAGAAATCATTTGTTGCTTGTCAAGGCTACGTGCAGAATATTCTGAATTCAACATATATATTTCAGACAGCGTCCATGCTACGGTAGCAACATAAAGTGGTTATTATCCTGGAGCAAAGCCAATGTTTCTTAAACAAATCTGGGCATTTCTTTTTTTATTGTTCTCTGCGAATGGTTTTGGAGACGCTTACATAATAACCTCCGTTCATTGAGTGCCCAGGGGTTGGCTACGTTGACATTCGTAACTACAATGGATAAAGCTGTTAGAACGTGTTTTAGCGATCCTTCGCAGTTTATCGCCTTAACTTTTTCCCGTGGGCTATTGGGGCCAATTTCGAACGTATTATGACCATTCAGTCACTTATTTTAAATGAAAGGAACAGAAAAACAAATCGACAGGGTCTTGCACTTCCTAATCCATTATAAGGAGTAAATTTTAAATCTCCATAGTTTACTGAAATTTCTTGAGACACACTTAAAGTAGTGAAAGTGCGGGACATAATATGTGCCAGCCCCCTGGTAAAGTGTTTCTACCATTAAACTATCGAAACATGTTTAGACGTTTCATTGTTATTTGCATAAGGTAGCATTTTAAGTGTTTTGCTGCGTCTCTTCCCAGGTTTTTAACAAAATTTTGTTACATTTCCGTGGTAGAATCTTCATGATAAAATATAACCGCTACGTTCATTCCTTTCTATACAGGAATAATATATCGATATATATATATACTTCACTGAATTCAGAATAGCATTGCCCCGTCATCGAAAAAGAGAAATACAAGAAGTCTGAAAATGTTTCAATATAGCATTGTGAGAAACATTAATTTTTATTTTTAAAAAAGCACAGCGGAAGAAAAAGGGGTTTATGTGATTTGGCTTATTATTTTACTATTACGCTTCTAATATAATTACGTTTTTATTAATATCAATATCTGACCATCCTACACTTCATAAAATTTTAGATAGTACAAGATAAATATAACTATATCCTATTAGCGGAAGGTATAGTAGACTGTCTATTTCTGACATCTTTTCAATTCGACGTATCACAAAAGCCCAATTTATACAAGAAATTATTCCTATAGCTCTTTGGGTCCACCAGCGGCCGAGAGGTAGAGTCGCTGAACACTGGTAGTTCGGTCTGAGGTTCGAATCCCGCGAACGAGCTGGCTGCATGGGCGTTTTCGTGGTTTTCCCCATGTGTAACGTGTATACGAGCCAGTTTTCCTTAGAAAGTCCTCCACGAAGGCATCCCTCCCCATAGGCAGATAGCCCTCGTGTGCTTTGCCATAATTAAATACACCAAAATACACCAATCCTATAGCTCTTTGATTAATATTGCTGCGGTTTTTGCGCGGGTTCGCGGATTTGGAGTGATTGATAACGACGATGAAGTATCAAAACACAACTTATTAGCCAGTATTATCAGGACAGCTCCAAAAACACGTTTACAGTCGTCGAAAAACTGTGACAAACAGGCTGAAACCATCAGTAACACAGGTTTCAGGCTATAACGGTAAAGACAGTTTCACGGCAAAGAACGGCTCCCGATTCGGTTCCGGTCATTCTCGGAACTCAAACGTACTCTCGAGCCTCTCCACGCTACAACTCGCGATGCACGTGACGACACATTCGATAGCCTCAACAATGCATACTCTCGATTTACCAACTCGCGATGCTACCGACGACAAACTCGAGACTAGACTCACGATGACTACGAGACATTCGACTGACGATAGACTCGATAGATTCGCGATCGACTAAGAGACTCTGACGAAACACACTCATTGATTAGACTCTCACTATCAACTGACTGCTACTCCGCGTACAGGCAAGGTTTATATAGCTCTTGGGATGCCTTCGAGAACATTTTGGTCCAAACAGATAAGAATTCGTTCTATAAGGTTCTCCATCCGTCTATGGCATATCGCCAAATTTGTCGCCAAATGGGCGAACCCGCCTTGTGGGGCAAATTACAACCCAGCCTTCCCTTTCCATTTTCTGGTAACCCTAAACTCGCCTTGCGGGGAAGCTATCTTACCGCGGCTACATATTTCGTAACAATATTCAAAATACATTGTTTGCATTGGCACCAAAGAAATCATAAGTTTAAAAGGAATCAACTCTAGCTAAAGAATGTGTTGAGCTTCACACAGTGATGTAATCGATTTCTTTACTATTAATTGCACTATTTATGATTTTATTCACAAATATCTGTGTTTTAGCCATTAGCCGTCTTGCCTTCCAGCACTTTTGGGATATACAATTAAAATCATAAACTACACAGCTGCTATGTAAATATTCTCTTTCTCCAAGCTTTTACAGAGTCACAAAGAGAACAAACACACTGGAGAATTTCTGAGTATAATATAAAAGATAACAGCATTAAGTCCATCAGGTCCATTCCGAAGACTGGAGTGATGCCACATTCTGTACCATTAGGGAAATTTGAGATAGTACGTTCTTTCTGCAGGAGTAATTGCCAAACCTTTCTTCTACGCACAAATACAAATCATGATTGTAGCTAAATTTCAGATTTCTTAGTCTCTTAAAGAAAGGAAAGGCCATTAAATTCCCGGAGGACAGTCGTTCCTTTCTTTGCCCAAAAATGTCACAAATATATTTTTAATCGCAGGTTCTGTTGCTGTCAAGAACCTCAAGACTTATCTAGAGTCAGATCAAATAACAACTTTGGAGAAAGAGGTTCTGAAAAAATACGTTCATTACAAGATACATCTTTCTTTTTGCATAATGTTATGCATTATTATAATGGTCTTATTTTTATACCTCACCGAATTAAATATACCATTAGGTATAAAAAGATAATATACCCACTGATTTTAAATTGCAGTATTCACTTTTATGATACTAATTCTATAACATATGATGTTTAATAGCATAACATTCCTGTCAAATATATTCCGGTGGTATCAGTTTTAAAGACACCACCGACATTTTCGTCATCAGGTATCAAATATAGAAAGAGAAAATAACCAGTTAGTATACGAAAATTTATTTTTCACGCCAAGCTTCTACTTCAGAATAGCAGATTTTATTTACTTACATTTATTTGACTTTTAATACTTCTTAAAATGTGAACACTGTATGCTCGTTTCAATTCACAGATAAATAAATTAGTTAGAATAAGAGTGTAAGCATTACTGAAATTCTGGTTTTTGTAATAAATAATATCGCATCTGTTTAATTTTGGAAGTAACATTAATGCAATTTATAAGTAGTTAGCGATGCAATTAAGATATTTATTCATCAACGAAAGCAAATATTTTGAATACAAAAAAAAGCTGAAATAATTTACTTAACAGCCTTTGCAAAACGACTTGCTAGAAAGACTAGAAATGCGACAGTGTAATATAAAAATCAGCAGCAATTACGTTAATGAAGCTCGAAATGTGTCTTCATTAAGTTAATTGCTAAGCAGGGCTTTATTATCAAACCTAACAGAACATATTTGGACAGAACTCATTTTTCAGAATACAAAAGTAAACTGTTCCATAAAAGTTAGTTAATTATTTAAGGCATAGCATTACATGTTAAACCAATTCAAAAACGTTAACTTTTTTATTACATGTTTACTTTATAATACAAATATTGTGGATTCCTAATTAGTAGTTTTTCGCGTAATAAGAATTTTCATATAGCAATTAAAGTATTCCTTGGAAAGATAATTATGTATAAAATAAAAACATAATTGCTAACTTAAATACTTTGTTATTTAACAGTGTAAATTTGTAATGCATCTCGTTCGTCTCATCAAAGACGGGGAAAAAGAAT